CGACCCTGCCCGTGAGCAATCTCCCAACTCATCTCTGCTCTGCAACTCTCTGCGTCTATCAGACTCAAGTTTATCCGTGTCACACGGATCAGTATTTTAACTCAATTTGGTGTTCAACGAGTTACTTAATTTAAAAAGCTACAAAGCCCTAACCTGTTGATATAATTGCACTGTTTTATTAATAATTAAGTATTTGGGAAGAGGCGGTGGTAGTCGTTAACAACTGGTCTAGTCCACTAAATTATTTAACCTTTTTGAAATACTTGGAATTAGTATCCTGATTTTATACGAAGGAAGAATGTCCGCTTCCATGATGTCCAATGCAAAGCTTCAGGATGATATGAATAGTATACCTTTGGCTGATGACGATCCCCAAGGTAATGTGTTTTCTGTTCGTCAAAGTGACCTACTTATGGTACCACTCATTTGTTTCAATAAATGTAAATTAAACTGCTAGCACAAAAGAGGAACGTTTTAACATGTATTGTTTTGGACTAAAGAGAACTTTTATTAGTTGCACAAGTTCGAAGAAGCGCATTCATGAATGCTAATCCATTATATAGAAATTTCAAGGTTTGTCTTATCGATGAGAATACTCTATAAAATGTGCATTTATTGAATGAGATTATCATAGACATAAGTAACGTAATTGCTCTAAAGTAAAGAGTGTAGTCTTACTTACGCGTGACGTTCCGCAAATAGTGATTATCCCAGAAGAAGAAATCCTTGACAATGTGTCTAACACGTCAGATGCGCTTGCTCGAGGCCGTAGTATGGACTCGCTTCCTTCTACATTTACCAATGGAAGTAGCAGTCCCAATAGTAAGTTCATTAAATCAACATTGTAGCAATCCATTGTGGTACTGTACGTAAAATTCAAGAAGTAGACCGTTTGATTGTTTTTCTTTAAGGAAAACGTATATTGCATGATGTACTCGTCCAAAGAATCCCTGTTATTATAATAAGGTATCATTAGCGTTCTCTACAATCATTTTCAATTGCATTCTTAACTTCTTAGGTTTAGATCCCGATATAAGCCCAGATGAACAAGAAGAAAAAGCAAGGTTGATAGCACAGGTTCTTGAACTTCAAAATACTCTTGATGGTAAAATACAATTGTTTATTCGGGACAATTTAATGTGGTCATTTCCTAGATTTTATTGGTTATCAACTTGGTGAAATCTCAACAAAAATTTATTGCAGATTTGTCACAAAGAGTAGACAGTGTCAAGGAGGAGAACTTAAAGCTTCGCAGCGAAAATCAAGTATTGGGACAATATATAGAAAATTTAATGTCAGCTTCGAGTGTGTTTCAATCGACGAGCCCGAAATCTAAAAAGAAGTGAATTTCTAGCATGACTCTAAATGTAACTATTAATTGCAAGCTCTTTCGCAATTTGGAAAAACAAAGCAAAATGCATATTTTGCTTTAAACAATTTTCTTTAGAAAAATGTACAATTCTGTCGTGAAAGTTTTTTAATTGTATTACCAAGCCTGGTAAATGGTACAACTATAATTATCTGGCTTAAAATTCGTAAATGTAATTTTTACAATATTATTCTCGAAGTGGAAAGAAGAATATGATATGCATTTCTCATAACTTATTTTATAGAAAAGGGGATTGCGCTTCTTAGCTATGCCACCCCGTCCAAGACTTTATATCTATGTTTAAAGTATACATTACATGATTTTGTTGCCAAAGACTTCAGTTTCTTTTTCTCTTTTTATATAACTATGCTTAAATGCTTGAAACTAGTAGATAGAAAGAGACATAAAAAATTAAAGTAGGGTTGTTGTATTGCATAAAGCAATGCAAAGTATGTAATATATTTTATTAATATTTATTTATAATGTCATGTGAGGATATTTAATTGACATAAGAATAGATGAAAATAAGGGTCATTGAAAAAGAGCGATGATAGTTTATAACGTGGCATTTAAATAAATCATAATTTTTTTGTATACATAAGATTTTTAAAAATTGCTTAATATATGTACAGAGATCCGCGATTCTATTAGACGACTTTACAGCCTACAGGAAACCCTGAAAAGGAAGTGAAAAATAAATTATCCATCATATTATCTTACAAGGCAAACTGAAATTCATAGTTTAGTTAAAATTCATTTAGTTACGGAATAAAACAAAACTCCATTCGATACTTTGCTGGATAATTTATCATTTATCATTACATAGGCATTCAATTGCCTTGCATAATACACCGATACGTATATCGTCAATGTTATGCCTCTGTTAAGAAAGAAATATCTAAAGCTTTGCTAAATCAACTAAATTAATTATACTGTGCTTTATGACGACTACATTATTTAAACGTATTGCCATGTATGTAGATGTACAGAAGAGGGAGAGAAAAAAATCAGTTATATAGTATTATCAGGAGGAAGTACCGATTATAAGAAGATTAGATGCTAACATACTTTATCAACTCATTATTGGATCTTCGTATTCTAACGCACTGAATATTCCAGGACCGCCAGAGCTCGCTTGCAGGAAACATTACTTTCTCTACTTTTAGCACAGAACACTTCCCAAATCTTGCAATGAAGTTTAAGCTTACAAGCACAAAGAATCCGATGTTCTGTAAAACATTCGTTCTGCCGAAGAGTTTCATCGTCTCGTTAATTTCTAAAATGCATTTAGAAGCAATTGTGCCTTAATATCGTGAATACTCGATTTACAGCTTCCACTGTAAAACAGTTTAAGATTCACCAAGCTTGAAAAAAAAAAACAGGTGGTTCACGCTGTCGGCGATCAGTATTTAAGTTGTCTGGGAGAGAACTGAATAGCTTTTTGACCCCAAGCGGTTTTCGATCCGAGCTTGGGACGTCCGTTCTTCTTTATCCCTATCCACCAGCCAAGCTCTACATATTTTCGTGATCGAAAAGCATCGTAAGATCCGATCTTCCACTGCTCCCAGACCGTGTTCTCTTTACTCACGTTAGGCTGGAAATAAAACCTGAAATGTAGAGAACGCACCTTCCTTGTGTCATGGTCCAAAGCACGTTGAATAATTTCTCTGTGACCATTATCGTATCGTCATTCTAGGCGGACTAGTCCTCTGAGAACTTTTACCTCTCCGTATAATCGACCTTTATGATTGAAAGCCACGTATAGGCCAGTCTCGATGCATTGAATTCTTATCAACCCAAAAGATACGGTTGATATGCTGAGTAGAGCTGTAAAAACCGTAGTCAGTGGTCATTTAAATCACATAGTATTATACTTTAGAATTTAGGAGGAAACACACACACAGGGTTGGCTTTATAGCTGAAATGCGGCTGTGTGAACCTGGAATCCAGTTTGAGGCACAAATAAAATTAACAGGCTTATTTAAATGTTTCTGTCATGTAGATATTTGTGCCATGTTGAGTTTTGTTTGTGCCATTTCTTTTTACAAAGACCAGAGCTGTTAACTCTTTGAACACGGAGACGTTTCTACATATGGGCGAAATTCATCTGACCGGACAGGCAATATTGGACCAAACGTCGGGCGCCTTTAGACGCTCTTAGTCGCCAAAGGGTTAAACAAAGATAAACAAATTCTGAAAATTACCATTTTAACGTTTTTGAGGTTCTGGGAGGCTCTGAATTTTCCTAAAGTCAGAGAATCCATTAGGGTCGAAAAATCCAAATTTCCACGATTTCGGAATTTGTTTATCTTTTTGAACCGTTTTGGTTTTTGTAAGAAACATGCCACAAACAAAACTCAACATGACACAAACGTCTACATCACAGGAACATTCTAATAAGCCTGTTAATTTCGTTTGTGCCTCAAATTGGATTCCAAGTTCACACAGGCCTGAAATGCTGGATTCAGGTGGGACCGAGTGAACAATTGACCATCACGAATGGAGATATAAAATTAGTTCTAAGAGAGATTAATATACACCGTTACTTGCTTACACTTGATATCGATACTCCTATAGATTAAAGTAATAGACCTGATATCACGTCGGATTAGTGATCACGTACATACAAATTGTTGAACGAGAGCGATCGGATATATTTATCTGAAAGTAGGAACGCCTTTAAAAACATGCCACTTGTAATTCCGAAATTGTTTATAGCTTTCCCATAGTTGGGGTAGTTGACCTCGTTTCCCGTGGATATTAATAGCCATCTCATATGTGTTCTTTATAAGCCCTTCTCTTCTCTAACAGACCATGCGTTGAAACTTATATTTAAATCCCATCGTTACACGGAACTTTCGGCTTTCGCTCGTTATGAATGTATAATCTGTCAATTGTGCATTTAGTATAAACACAATAAATAACATCACGAATACTCGCCGCCGTAGCCTGCATTTAGCCGTACCCTGTACATTGTTATTCCTCGTTTCCTCGATTCAGAGCGACAATTGGCTAGATAAATTACCGTGCGATTCGTCGGTGGCACTTGCGCCACATATTAATCCAGACGGGCTCACAGCCAGGTGATAACCAGTGCGACAATAAAGCTGGATAACCAGAGAACCGTAAATTGGATTTTCAGCTGGTCCCCGTGGATCCCAGACCACGTACAAGGGAAGTCGGTCCTTCTTCTGCACGTCCCGACGAGGCACCCTAGGAAATACATTGTTCATTACATATATCGTTGTATCGTATTATCTCCGATCTCCCGCAACTTTGTTCATCTCCGTTGTATCGCTTTATCAGGGTGCGGTACTTTTTTTTTTTCTGGCCTCCACGAAAGCAATCGGGATCCGAGTCGGCTCGTTTTCCAGGCCACTGGGTATCCTATCGTATATACATGAAAAGCATTGTTTAGCCTAGGTAAATTGCCTAGCCCGTTACATTGGCGTACGCGGACACCGGATAGCAGGAGGAATACCTACTTTCATTCGTTTCGGTGGTGAATTTTGTCACGGTCGCGATCACGTTGTAACAATGGAACAAACCCGCGGTACGGAATCACTCGAAGCACGCGGATGCCAAATCAATTGCGAAGCCTCTGTGCGCGGGATATCGACGAATTGCACTCGTGGTAATGACTGCGACCCTGTGTACCGCACGCTGCAGACATAATTGACTCATGAGATCAACGAGAGAGCAGACCGGCATACTTTTCAAATGGAACAATTCATCGCGACGAACATGTCCGTCATGATCAAGGAGCGATAGCTCGTGACAAGAATGGTCTTTAAGTTGCCCAGATAGAGAGAGCATGATCATCATATGAGAAGGGGACTCGATTTACAAACAATTTCCAGATCATTCGCTATATGAAATCTCTGCAATATGTGTGCACATATTACGCAACAGATTTTAAGGAGAAAATTTACGGTAAGGTAAGTGTACCAGTGGTCGAACACCATCTTAAATGTTTCCTTTTATTAAGCATTGCATGAATAACGGCTGTTCAAACACTGGTACATTCGACTTTTCCATCGTCTTCCCAGCATAAATGAATTACTCAATATTTACATATATACGTAGCACGTGTTTTGGAAACTAGAAATTCTATTTTTCACGTTGCTTCAAGTCATCCGTACTTCATATCGATCTTTACGTGCTTGATCTTGATCTGAATCGGCAGGTACATTTACCTTAAATTTGTCACGCCACGGCTCAAATATGAGCCACAGACGCTGCAATTGTTTATCGGCACGTGTGAGATAAATTTAGCCGTACGTATACGTAGAAACATTGGGACATTGCGTGCAATCAACCTTTGTTTAACATTTAAGTATATCTGTTTCGTCATTGCGCACTGCATATACGAGTTCCTAAACGAGGAATAGCCTCATAAGGAACAGCCTAACGATTCATTTGACGATCCTTCATGGGGCAATTTTCATGCAAATCCTGCATCACTTTGTCCATCCGGGTATGCTACAGCCTCGCAGAAAAGGAGCGGCCCTTGTCACGAGATAATGTGACTTATCAGCTGGTAGATTCCAAGAAAGAGTGACTTAATCGTCATTCGTTTATTCATAGTTACCCATTATCGTCGAAGCGAATCGTCTCCGTTGGGGGTCTCAGGGTCTCCCGTTTGTCCCTGCGATGGTCGACCTCATCTTCCTGGCCCAATTCGGCGTCGTAGCTGTCATCGCTACAGCTGTCATCGATGTCGCTCGATTCCTCGTCGCAGACCGGAGCTACGCAATTCTCCTGGATCCACCGCAGACTCATCCCGGTTGCGATACTCCCAGCGGCTACGAGCCTTATCCCGTTTGCCTCGGATCGAAGCATCCGCCGTTAAAGAACGCGTTCCAATAACAAGAGAGGGAGGTCGAGACGTGCGAGGAGAAAAATAGATCCGTAAAAACTTAAGGTGGACTTAGGAAAATCCGAGGTGCAAAGGAATACCGGTTCGCCGGCAGAGCGGACTATCCGTGGTGAACGAAACGCACCGGCGGGGATTATAGTCAGTTTCGCTCTGTTAATATTTACGGAGCCACGGGGAGGGAGGAGGAGGAGGAAATGTGGAGAACGGGATCGGTCGACGGAACCGGGGAAGGGAAGATGGACCCGCCTGGGAGATTGCTGAAAACCTTTCCTTATTTCATTAAGTCGTACGTAACCGTGACATCGCGACTCGCTCGGTAACGGGACAAAGGACGCTTTCCGCGATACCTCGCGCGGTTTTACGACTGTATTGGCTATCTCCGGGGGATTTAATCGGGATTTAAAAAAAACTCACTCGAGATCAAAATCACCCGAGGATCCCGGGTCGAGCGAGAACCGCTTATCTGGGGCGGCTGGATGGGGCTTGTACCGACGTCAGCAACTTGGGAGTAAACTGAATTAAAGCCAACTCCGATTAAACGGCTCTTAGGTATCTCTTGCTCGTTAACATTTACGTCGAAACACGTTCGGACGTTTAGCCGGACCGGCGGCAACCTGGAAGGGGCTTTTTTTACCCCTCGGATTTCGTCTGGGATTCTTTGATCGGTACTCACGAGAACTCGGCCGAAGAAAGGCGGTCTGTCCGCGGATCTTGCCGGTTTGCGGTAGGAGGCTCGACTAAATGGATGGATGTCGGCAGCTACCGGTAACGTCAGCGACTCGCCAGTAGACTGAATTAAAAGCGGCCTCTGATTAAATGCGCGAGCCGCGCTCATAGGTGTTCGAGGCCTACCCTATATGCCACCGTATTACCTAAATGATAGGGGCATGTGAACGCCTATTAATAGGCGGCCTGAAGTCTATTTAACTAACCGGATAACGCGCATCTCTTATGTATGAATGCCCATAGGTATGACTTTTTTTTTCCCTTTTTTTTTTCACCTCACTCGACCTGCAAGGACAGGGGCAATTGTGCGCAAAGGAGGACAGGGGCTGGATCTCGCGTTTCGCTCGAGTAACAAGAGCGGCACGTAATTGCGTACTTGCTCCGGGGATACTCCACGGTAGAGCGGCGGCACTGCCTTGCGAAACCGTACCTTGAGATATCTAGGTATCTCGCGAAGTGAGCACGTTGACATTTCTCGAGATCGTCGCGAGTAGGAAGGGATTATTGGACAAGGAGGTACACCCGGAGGAATTGTCCCTCGGGGTGAACTGAGAGGAAAAGATAATCGGAATTAGGCATTTTTCTAGGATTTTCCGCGCCATCACCTGGCAGGTATATTATGCATCCACGCCGGGAGGAAATTGCGAATAGAATATTGGCCTGTATCACAAAGACTATAATAAACATTTATTTTTTCGATAATATAAAATTACACACTGTAATAACACGAAACATGTATCTTACAATATTTCACAGTAATATAATTATGCTCTTCGGGAAGGGGACTACAGGCGGAAGGATGAACCTCGCCTACGGGGATTAACCGAAATCGATCGGCTTACCCGTGTGGATGCTTCATTATCTATTCGGACTATAGGTCAAAACAATTTCAATGGAGGAAGGATCTGCATCTGCGATTAGGCCTTAACAAACCTAATGTTAATGGTTACTTTACGTAAGAGCAACTAAGGTTTAACATTCTCCGACGACACGTTAATCGATTTGATTTTAGACACTGTTATCGTAAACACTTAACGAACCTACTCTCTATCCAATACGATCTAAAGGCTGACCAATTCTCGTGCAGCCTGCACACCGAAAACTCTCATAAATATCACAAACTATAATACAAGAATGTACACTCTTTCGGCAACGTGCTGACTACCGTCAGCCGATGACACCTCTGACGTTACGTTAATTACATAAATACACGCTATTTACAGGTCCCTACGTATCCGTTTGTATGTATACGTGCGCGCCAAGTACGCGCGCCGTATGCTGCCCGTACCTATTTGTTAGTCCGCGATAAACGAAACAATCTGTAAAAACTGAGCTCTTCTCTTGAAGGTAACGAATTCATCCGATTACCTATTCTTTCGCTTAGCAGGAAGTAGTTGTCACGTCGGTATTCGTCTCTCCGTTTAGATTCTGTCGTGTATTTACAAGGCGATAGCGCGTCGTGTGGAACGATGGGATGATACGGTACCGCTTCAACGAGGTACCGCGACGGTCAACTACGACTTAGAAAATATAGCCAAAACGTGCTATATTCAAGCTAGTCAGCTTAGATCCGTTAGGCCCGCCTTTCTACACGCAGCTGAACTTGACACCTGGAAGTACAATAAAAACGTCCCTGTGAGCACGAAGGAGTCCAGGTAGACATCGATGCCGCTTACGTGCGCATTCACGGCTCCAACGCGACATGGTCTCTCCGGGAAATCGGGACGTTCTTTTAGGACATTTCGACGGGCACGGGTCACGTAAATGCGCAACGTCTCGCTGCATCGCCTGGGTTGACCCAAGTTACGTTAGAGGATAATTACCTAAATAAGATTTATACGGAATTACGCTAAGTACAGTTTTAAGCATGAGTACCGTCGTCACTGGAGTAGCAGTTATGGCAGTGGAGCTTGTGGTTTCGAACACGCACGTCCGTTCCCATAAGGCCATCTCCGAGTCGCACATGACACACGCAGCACTTGAAACACTCCATGTGGTAAAACAGTCGAAGACTTTCTATGATCATTGCAGCTCCCCTCCCTGAAATTAGATGAACGTTCGGAGTTAAAAGAGGATTCTCGATGCGCGTATCAAGAATTTCCTATCCGAATAAGTAGTGGCAGTCTCGATCTTCGGAACGACGATGATATCAATTGAGTGGATACCTAGTTCATCTCCACAGTGGGAACACTTCTTCTTTCCGCTGACACTCAACATCTTCTCCTGGGAGTCAACGTTCCCGTTTGTGGAGGACTGCACCTTCTGCTGCTGAACTGCATGCTGCTGCTGCGACTGGTGTACCAGAGGAGGAAGGTGTTCCTGACTCGTACTGTGCTCTAGCCTGTAACGGTGGAAATCATTGTCTAGATTTAATACCGAAAAATCAACCCGGGAGGCAATTTCCAGCTCTATAAAGATAAATGTCAAGGCCGGGGCCATAAATATTACATCCTTTACCTTCTTCTGGGAGGAAGAGGCTTCTCTTGGGCCCGGTTTTGTACTCTCTGCGTAAGTGTCTGGATAATGGAGTCTGGCAATGGTTTACTGTCCGACCTTGGAGGAACGGCGGTGTAGGGTACGGATGTGCCCGTAACGTGAGGCTGAGATTTGCGAAGAGGAGAACGCTGGTTTTTCTCGTTGATTCGCCTTTGCTCAGCCTCCTGAAAATATGACACCGTATGTTAGCACCGTACGGATCTAGACGCAATTACACGTCCAACAGGAGGAAGTTAGTTACTTGTATCAGCCAGTGTTGGTAGTTAAAGTCGCGAGCTCCGCGAGGGATGTCGCTCTTCCTACGTTGGACCCATTGGTCTCCTTGAACTATTCTCGGACGAGGAACCGCACTTAGGGCTTGCAAGGTTTGTCTGGTCATCTGCTGGCCAGCATGCGTCGCCAAGGTCGTTGCCGATGCACTGTGCCGCAGAACTGGATCCACTTGCTGCGGAATCGAGTCCGCGGACGGAATGCGGCTGTTCCTGTTCATGAACGACAGAAACGATATCGATGAGTCTCTACGATCTGCTACGAGCTGACTGGAAGTCCTAGCCGTGCTGTCCTCTCCCATGGAGTTACGAAAGGTACTACTACAAAAGCTTGTTCGGAAATTAAACGCAAATCAGCAAAGCCATCTATTCTTTTGATCGATCCCTCAGCCGTGACGCTTCCTGCTTGCCGCTACAATGTTACACCTCCTATGTAATACTCAGAGAGGAATCTTCGTCTGTGTTGAATTTAGCATGCAACTAGATTCAGTGGGTGGTTTCTACTCAATCCATCATGATACGTGATTAACTGGCTTTCCACTAAATTAATAATAGCAGTCTATCTTATACCAAGAAAAGATTTACCTAATGGTAACGTCTCGTTGTCTTTGTTCAGCCAGGCGTAAGGGCTTGGCCGGTGGAATAGGTGGAGGTGGCGGTCTTCTTCTCTGGCCATCTTGAAGTTGCAGATTCGGCATGGAAGACCTGTAGCTCGTTGCCGATAACTGTTTGAATTGCTGAGTGTTACTACTTGGTACGTGAGCGACATCTTGTAGAGACTTCCATTGTTCCTGAAGTTGTTCGGCCAATTGTTGCTGCTTCTGTTCTCGGTAGGCCAAGTTACTGCGCTGCCTCTTCAGCTCTTCTTGCTCAAGTTGGAGGAGTTCTCTTTCGACTCGAAGGACTTCCTATGGAACACATAAAACTTGCCATTAAAGATATGCAAATGTTAATGCATCGAGGACATTAAATGTAAAGCCCAGAACATGCTCTCAGGGCGCGTTACGCTGGCAAAGGGAGAAGTTTAGTAGTGCTCAAATTTCCTCTAAATGGTCAAAGCTTCGATATCTACTTCTCAATCATTACATAAGCGAAATACAGTGCTACTTCGCAAATAAATGTGTAACCAAGGTGGCTCCCTTACCCCAGAAGCAAATTCGTCCTCACGGTTGCTCAACCCTGCACCCATCATTGTCTTAGTCTGCGAACAAGTAAGTCAGTACTCAGGATCAAAGTGCTCCGACTAAGGTACCCTCGTGCAATCACACGTATTATCTTTTACCTATTCAAGGACGGACAAAACGTACTTATATAAGTATACTACGATCAAAAGTGTGGCCGCTCTACGGTTTGTGCAGGTTGAAGAGAGCAGCTTAAAAAAACCATTCGGTTTTCGCCCTAGCCACATCGACTCGTTTAATCGCTCGTCTATTTCCCAGTAACCGAGATGTACGTTAAGCCGAACTCACCTCCTGTTCGCGAATCTGGCTCTCGATGGCTCTGATCCTCAGCTCTTCCTGACGCCTGAGTTCAAGGGCTCTTCTCTCCTTCTCCTCGATCTCGGTCTGAATCCTCATTTGCTCCGTCTGTATCCTGAGTTCCTCTTCCTGTCTCTTTTCTTCGGCGCATCTAGCTTCTGCTTCTGCTCGGGCCGTTTCCTGCTGCCTCGCCACTTCCTTCTGTTGCTTCCTCAACGCGTCTTCCTGCTTGCGAATGTTCTCCTCGTTCTTCCGCAGGGTCTCTTGTCGACGCAGCTCCACTTCTTGAGCCCGCTCTCGTTCCAGCTGCATCTTTTCCTCCTCGAGCTCGCGCAGCTTGTGAGCGAGCTTCTCGCCGATGTCGCTGTTCCTGGAAAGCCAGTAAACACCGCTTTTAGCAAGGATCTTACAAGGCGAGAGTCTAGGCCGAGAGGCAGCGGTTTCCGACTTTCGCCGGCTGGGAATTCTGAGAATCGGTGTTATTTAGTTGACGGACCGACGTCGATTGTAATCCCGTTCCCAGGTTGTGCAACTACATTGCAGGGCCGGCTTACGGAATAGAAACCGCGTCTCCGGGTGCGATTGATCCTGCTCCGTAGACCACTTAAGGGTTTGATCGATCCTACACAACTCGCGGGAAATTTCTTCGTTCCAAGTGGAGATGACCCGCGTCTCAAACCCGTGACTATGAGAGCTCTTACTTCTGAAACGATGAATTTCGTACATATCTCACGGAGAGCTAGCTCGAAAGGCAGTAATTGAAGACTTTCACAGACCGAGAACTCTGGAAATGAATGTTATTCAGTTGACGAGTCGGGCTCCTCAATTGTAGTCTCGTTCCCAAGTTATGCAATTCTACCGGCAACGGGCTGGGCACGGAAACCACGCCGCCAACCGTGATGGCCCCACTTTTGTACATTTTCTAAGCAACTCATTCTATATTTCAAAGCAGACTCTAGAATTCGCGTTTTACGTAAGCTGCGCCCAATACGAACGCCTGCTGAAAACAAGGCGTATCGGGACTGACAAAATTATACCGACAAGTTCTCATTTGGCACCTGTTCGGATCGCAGTTGTTGCCGTAACGCCATTGTTCCTCCTTTTCAAGGACCCCGATGATCTCTCGCTCTTTCTTCGTTATTTCGTCCTCTTCCGAAGAAGTTACGCTCGCCCCGAAAGGCTCGCTACTTTGCCGGCTGTGCTGAGACATATCCGGACTGATAGGCTGCTTGGTCCAGTCTTCGGCGTGGCCCAATTCGACTCCGGAATCTCTTTCATGGCTGGAGTCTTGCTCGTAATTGCTGTCCGTGTCGAAGGAGCGTCGATGGAGCTGCTCGATGCGTCTCTCTTCAGCTAGAATGGCCGCCATGTCTGGAGGCTTCGCGAGAGTCAGCTCTCGCTCCAGGTCGTCGTCGTTGACCTAACGAACATTTGAAAATCCATTTTAAGGTCAAGTGAAACCCCTCCTTCAAATCAGTCGATCCGAATAATGCACTTTGTTTAAGAGTATTGAACCGAACCGTCGGGAACTTTGACACATGTCTCGTGAGCATTATGGACATTATGGGAATTATCCTGATGCTTTCAAAATTTGGATTTTTTAATAAAAAAAAAAGTTTTACTCAGACGAAACCAGAACCAAAATGGTGTCGAGCTCTCATGTTTCGATCGATATACAATTATTGAAGGCCCTCTCATATGAGAAACGAAAGTGTCAGGACAATTGTATAACGATTTAGAACACTCTGGTAATCGAGAAACACGCATTTGAAAGGGAGAAAGGCAAATAAAGTGTCTTATGCGCTGCTATGTTAAATGGTAATATAAGGTCTCGGAGTGAAAATCTGGTTGACGCGGAAATCACAGATGGCGCAGGGTGTCCCTCTGCAGTCAATTAAGGCCTCGGAAATCATAAATACAAAGGATTTCTGGAGATTTACTTAGATTTCTTTACAAGTATTATACGAAAACGACAGAGTATGCCATTTAGAACAATACCCAATATAATTCGTCACAACTGTCGATATAAAAACGAACATCGGCAACGTAGGTATTTATATAAATCTCCTATACCGACATCGATCAAGTTCCTCGACGTGTTTCACTCCACCTTAACGAGCCCCAGTCCGAAATTTTTACCCCAACGTCGGAACTTACCCCTTCGATACCCAGGAAATCGGACCGCCTGGTGCGGAGTTCCTTTTTTATCCTTCTGGTGGAGTTGAGCCTCTTCAGCGGTTCCACGGGAACGCTTTCTTCGTCGCTGAGGTCCAACGGAGGTGGTGGGGGTTTTTCTTTGGGTGGTTCCACGCTGGTTGGCGGTCCTAGAGGGAAAGCCAGGCCGGCGATCATTTCCTCGCTGTCGGAGAGGTTCAACGGCAGAATCTGAAAGTAGAAATGAATATTATTTTCGATTATTTGACTATTTATATCAATGGGGGCGAAACTTACCTGCTTAGACATCGGCGACCCTGGGCTCGGAAAGTCTAGGCCTTCGGGATCCGGAGGTTCACTTTTTCCTAGGATCAGCAGCGTCGGTCGATCCAAAGAAGGCGAGACTTTCAAATCCTCGGGTACTTTCAACGCCTCTTTGCTGTCCTTCCGGGGAACTGGGTTACCTTCCGGTTTTATTGTAACTTCAGTCATTTTTCGCTCCTCCTTCTCGACGGATAGTGGGATTTCACGGTTCGACTCTTGGATCGTTTTCTGCATTACGATCTGTTCCTGAGGAGGCAAAACACGTTCGAGTAAATCCAAACTTGGTGAAACTTGACGGTGAACTTTGCAATGGGCCGCACTAACGAGCAGTCATTAAGAACTGTTAGAAACTGGCGGTGATAAAAAAAAAAATTAGAACAAGCAGTTGCGGGTCTGTCCAACTGCAAAAAAAAAAACTAAAAAGCCTTGATTTCCAAACGAGCCTCATTTTAAGCATTGCAAAGTTGCAATTCGTGCAATCAAGCCATTTGTAGCTTCTTCAACGAACGGGAATTATTACATCACGCTGTCATATTAAACGTTATGACAACTTCTGTCAGAACTGTATCTATTCAACTTTCTACACTTATATCACTCGAGGTGTAATGCACAAAACATACCAATACACAATTACTTCAACATGCAATTTAGATCGATCACACGACTCGCCGTGCCAGCAAATGAACGAAATAATGGTTATCGCGTGCTATTAGCAAGTCGATGTTAGCTCACATCGGGGGAGGTGGACTAACGGTGATAACAATTTTTGACGGATCATGTGATAAGAAACACCTGGTTACCTCCTTCGCAACCAGCGAGCTCCATGCTAATATAGATATCTCCTAAACTGGATTTCTTTTTTATTTAAATCGAAATTAACTGGCTAAAAGAAACACCGGAAAAATTGGGAACGTTGGAAATTTAATTTCAATGAAAGCACTAAGGTTGGTCGAGAAAAATTATCGATATATTTCCCCGGTTAATAGAGGTTCCTGGTAGAGATAGCGATCGGTTCCCGATCGGTGATCGCGGACGATTTTACGCTCTCTACCCTTCGTGGCGAAATATAATTTTCACGGTTCTTTTACTCCGCTGTTTGCACTAGGGGCTGAACCGGGACGGAGACTCGATAAAAAGAGGTCTTTTGAAAATGCTTTTTTTCAGATCAGTTTACGTCTCGGCACGCCGTTTAGAGAAAACCGATTAACCCAGTTTTAAGCCATCCCAGTCCGTCCTCTAAGAGCGACTTCCGATCCGCATTCTACACCGTTAAAACTGTACAAGGTATTATTTGTAATTTTACAAGGCAAGGTGCAAACTAATAGCTTTGAATTAATCACATTACGGGACGTGAATTGAACGCGGTCTACATTTTATTTTTTTTAAATGTCACGACCATTAGCGAACGGAAATCCGCCCTGTTTGAGTCAACTTATATTCTATCTCTAGAAGCATTGCATTGTTCTTCATGAATGTTTGAGAAAGCGGGTCATGAAGAAGGCAATCTATGTGCACAGGGATATCAAAGATACGCGACAAGACTGCGCATTTCCGCTAATTGTTAAAGTCATCGCTGACAGGAAATTTACGTCGAATGCCGGGAATCGCGTTTGTCACCGATAGAGCTTATCTCATGATAAGCAGCCTCTAATCTCCAAAAGGAATTCGCCAAAATATCGGCGATCGGATAATTAGACATCGAAAAAAATCTATAAATTTATACCCGACTCAGTTTTTTGGTGCACTGTGTAAGTAGATCCCAGCGATACGAGACATGACGTATGCAGTACCGAATAAGTACCGAATGCCGGGAATAATCGCGTTTGTCATCTATAGAGTTTATCTCATGATAAGCAGCCTCTAATCTCCAAAAGGAATTCGGCAAAATATCAGCGATCGGATAATCAGACATCGAAAAAATTCTACAAATTTGTACCCGACTCAGTTTTTTGGTGCACTGTGTAAGTAGATCCCAGTGATACGAGACATGACGTCTGCAGTACCGAATGAGAATAAATATGATAAACGGCGGTTAAATGGCATTAAGGGAAGAGAGAGGTGAAATTGAAAAGGAAACGAGCTTAACGAAGTCACTTGGCACGGCGGCAAGAAATTGGATAAAATCGAGCACCGTTTAAAGAGAAACGCAGTGCAAGGAGTAACGACAAAGCGAAAAGATCCGCCCAGTGATCGGTACCATGATTTCTGTAATGCAGATCAAGCCGTAACGGGGCAACAAAAAGGAGTTAACAATCGACACGTAAAAAAGAAGCCTCAGGCAGGGACAATTCCTCAAACAAGCCATTTCCTTCGGGGATGATCCGCCCTAGCCGAGGAGCCGAAAAAGTAAGGCGCGCTTCTCGACGTACAGCTTTACGAGCGTAAATTTGTTTCCCCGCTGACCTTTGACCGAGGAGTCATCCTGGATTCCGACTCTAAAATTATACCGGCCATTAGCTTTCACTCCACCCGTTAATGGTTCCACGGTAGTTCACGTAGGTGCTCGCCCCAACGATCACTTAGCGAAACAGCTCGAGCCGTTCCCGCGGAAATTAGCGGGGAAAATGAAAAAGGTCAGTCCAAAGCAATGGTCATTTTCGCGGGAGCGTAATTCCTAGTCACAGACCGTTTCCTCGATCAAAGGTGGCACGTAAAGGGGAAACGGTGGTCGTGGAGATTTGTAACACTCGGCTGAGAAAATATTCCATATAGGTTTCTTCTCGCCAAAGTGCACCCATTCCACGACGCGTTTTCAGGACGGTTGCAAGAGAGAAAACGGGGAAAAGGAAAAACGACGAAGCTTTCGAAAATTCAGCCACAGAAGGGGACACTACCTTACCTCGGAAGGTACCCGAAGCTTTGTTACGGAAGGCCCAGACGGATGACGGATGACGAATTCTACGACTGCGCGATACGGTGCAACGACATCGGCTAATTGCAACACGTCAGGGGGTTGAGAGCAATGGTCACATGAACTGGCGCGGAGATTACTTGTAGCAATTTTATTATGATACAGTGACAGAACTGGATTATTGATTACCATATACCAACTAGCGCGTACAGTGGTAGGGGCGCGCCTTTTCCAGCACTTTTCTCCAACCGCGTACGAGAGATATCGTTGGATAGGTCGACATAACGACCACCCTTTTGACCCGATTGTCGTCTCGGTGACATCGCGACGATATATCCGCGCACTTCGTACGAGGGCAATCTTTTTTCTCCCGACGACGACCCAACTCGCTCGAATTGCTTTCAACTAAATGGTAGAATCGACTTTCTCGCGTAATTACTTCCGAAGTCGACCGAAAATTTCGTCGAGTCGAGAAAGCGAGTCCACGAGTGCCAATAAGTCTGCCAATTGAACTGGTGAAATGACGGGTTGCAGAGATCAATGAAAGTAACGGGCTGGGGAAGATCGTCAATGTAAATGCGACAGAAATGATGCGATCACTTTTGAGAGTAGATTTTTGAAAGTACTTTTTGGAAGCATTCGTGCCAAGCGGGTGATGACGTTATTTCGTGCACATCCTGAGCCTATCCTACGTACGACGCACCCAAGTAACCGTAAATTCGCTATTATCCAACAAGTTCGACGAGACGCGTTTAGGTGACGCGAAAGTGGCGTCAAAGAAGTCTCGATTATGAAACTTTCCTCCGAACTGGGTGTACCCGAATCGTTTCAAACTTCATAACATGAATACGGAGGCTATAAGAAAGGTCCTGACCCCCATGAAATTACATTCTTTTAAATAAATTTTTAAAACGTCTATAAATTTTAAAAAATTGAAATTTCATGGGGGTCAGGACCTTCCTTAGAGCCTCCATGTTCGCGTTGTAAGGTTTGAAACGATTCGGTACCCCAGGTCGGAGAAGTTTCACAAACGATTGATCCCTCAGATGTCACTTTCGCATCCCCTTAATGTCGGCACTGGAATCTCTAAGTCGTTCGGAGTCTTAATCGAGGCCGATGACAACGGGTGTCCGTCATCTACGAGAACGAACCGGGAATTGACAACCACTCGGCAAGCCGTTATAAAAGACTACTGGTACAAAAGTGTCGTCAGGTCGTTCGCGTTAAAAATCCCGACGTCCACTCTTGATCGATCCATCTTTCGCGAATCGATTGGCAATTCGTCCAGGCTCGAAAACTTCGATCTAACGTACAATTCCTGGCATCGAGCAACCAAAAGTCGACTCGAGCTAGGTGCAACCCGGTTTTCGATGCTCAACTCGTTGAGTTTCGCAACGAGAGAACTCGCATTGCGACGCGAGAACAATGACTTCGTAATCGCGGCGATACGCGTAACGATCGCAAAGATCCCCATCGGGCAGTGCACCAAGACACGCATCGAATGGACGTCAATTCCAATTAATAAGCTCGCGCCACCCTCTGGCGACCTACCCCAGGATCTCCGCGGATCCCCAAGTTCGCTCAGCGACCGTTCCTATGCTCGTATTCCGTTCCGATATCACCTATTTACATCGTAGACCGGGTTATCGGGCTGCCGCGACCTCCGGAGACGATTGTCCCATCAAAGGCATATCGAAAAGCCAAAAATAACCAGGACTATCAAGTCGAGCTCTCTGGGAACGCGCGTGACAAAAAGCGTCCCGAGGTTTCTCCTCTGCCCTTCAATTTCTCTACCTCCACACCTTGCAAGAATTCCTCGATACCTTCGCGGTCTTTAAATCTCCCCCTTTTCAATAATCCTACACAGCGACTTTTCCCAGTTTCTTCGGCAACTTTGAAATCTCCACCCTTGCAGGAACTCCACAGAGTGGCCTTTCAAGGTCTACGCCTCCACCCTCGCAAGAACTCTACAGGGTGGCCCTTCGAGGTCTCTTCGGCAATATCTTCGGTTTTACAAGAACTCTACCCCAGTGACCCTTCGCCTCCGGTCGACGCGCACTTCCCAGTCGAGCCGATCATGAATATGTACAAGGTATCTAACGCAAAGAGGCTAGGCGAGTAGGCGAGGTGGAGGCGCCTCTCTCTAGCATTTCCTCAAAGCCGTGCTGTTCTCCTCGTCGATCCTAACCTCGAAGCTCCCGTCGCTCTCTACTCTGGCCACCGTGATGAACGGGGTCACCGGAAGAGTCGGAGGGGCCTCGCCCAGAGGTACCACCACCTTTTCGCAAACCTCCACCACCGTGCGGCGTCGATCGGCTGGCCGCTCCTCCAGCGCCGCTGGGGACTCCGTCGAAGGGATGGGCAAGGATGGACTCGACGGTGCCGCATCCAAAGGTTGGGAGTTTGCCGTTGACGGAGACGTGGGCAACGAGTAGGCATTGCGGGAAGACGACGGCGACGAGGACCTCGCGCTGGTAAAAGGTGACGGAACATCGGTGGATGGGGTCACGAGAGTCGAGGATGACGCTTTCGCGATGGAACCAGGGATCTTCGTGCCTGTTCGAGGTTTAGGGGAGACTGGAATGGGCTGAGGCGACGAAGGGGTGCTGGGAGTGCTGGAGGAAGGTGACGAAGAGGTCGATGAGGTCTTGCCGAGGGCCGTCTTGCGAGGAAGAGGTGTTGGTATCTTGGATGATCTAGGGGATGGGGTTGAAGGCGTGGTCGGGGTCTTGGGTTCTTGGCTCGTGGTTGGTGATGCTGGGTTCGAGGTACCGGTGGCCTCCGTGTTGGGGTATGAAAAGGTTGGAGTAAGAGCCGCAGGAGACTCCGGAGACTCCAAAAGAGGAGGTAGGTCCTCCTGGAGGTCTTTGAGGTCCTCTGAGCTGAGACTGGGAGGACTCGTCTTGTCTTTGGTCGTTGGTCTTCGGCAGGATTCTTGAACCAAGCGGTCCACGGAATCGTTTGGGCTGGACTGGTCGGACGAGGAGGACCCTTCCGGACTGCAGGGAATCGGAAGTTTGGATTCCGTTGACGTTTTTGGAGGGCTTAGCTCGGACGGCACCTTGTGGGATGCGGCGACCGGCTTGGGTCTGGCTATTTCGGGAGGGGTTCTTCGGGGAGGTACTCTGGGACTTTGGTAGACGACGGGACGGCTCGACGTCGAGGTACGGAGAGAGTTAACGTTAGCTACTTCTACGAATGTCTGTGGCTGAGACGTGTTAGTCGACAGTTCCCCAGAAGGTTCGGCAGTTCCCTATAGAATCAGAGTCATCGACAGCGTTACGCCGGTAAAGTCCCAGTACCGGAAAGGTATGTACAAGACCGGGGAAAAAGAGAGCTCGGGGTATCCACTGCCTTGATTCCGATCTCCGTCCACTAATCCATGTAACAACTGGGTTCCTTCGAATGCAAGAAAGTGCCATCAAAACGGCGTGACGATTTCGCCCCAAGAAATAATCCAGCGACAAAATTGTCAATTGAACCTCGACAGAAAAATACATAAACCGTTCTTAATTCTCAACCTAGCGGCACGGCCCTCCAACTATTATTCAGACGGAACAAACGCGTTCTCTTCGAGGCTCGACCTAGCCTCGAGACGGTAATCTCGCAGCCAGTTATTATAATGATTAGTGTCTTAATCTCGGTTCGAATCAACGTTTTCAATGATCCACCCCTCGCTACCCTCCATCGTCGGAAACAATCCCGATGGGAATAAAAAGAACCAGAAATAAGATCGGTCCTCGCGGATCGGAACCCTTACCTTTCTTGTTCCTGCCGCTTCCGATTGGCTGGTGAGAGCCGCCAACGGCTCCACATCAGACACCGCTTTGGTCTCCTCGCTCTTCGCCTGAGCGTGTATCTCCTTCGTCTGCGCGGATTCGGGTTTCTCCTCGATGAGCTCCTGCCTCTCGGCTATCGCGTTCGCGTGTACGATCTCTTCGTCGACGGGCTCGTCGGCCTGGCTGACGGAGCAGCTCACGTCGGCCGTGTGAATGCCGGAGTCCTCTCGATCGGTGTCGTTCAAGAGCTCGGCGGACGAAGATGAGGCTGGATAGCGACGACCATAGTCCAGCTCTTCGAGGCTTTGGACCCTCTCGAAGGTGTCAGGTCCACTGGAGGCGTCCGCGTCCAGAGAGTCCAGACTGCGGTGGAAGGCTGCCCTGGGTGCTCGGTACTCCGAGTCCGGCGACGAGCTCCTCTCACTGGGAGTCGAGGTTTCGATCCCGGTCTCGTTATCCCCGAAGCAGAGGCCGTGCTTGCCGGGTGGCCTCTTCTCGGCCTCCTTGTTTCTTACGGAATCCAGAGCGCACAGGCGGTCCTTGATGGACTTGGCCGAGAGTTCGCCGTTGTGCCGGATCTCGTGGCCGCTGGAACCCGGGGCCGAGGACTCGTCGCTGCTGCTGTACTTCTCCAAGGTGGACAGCCTCTCCCTCAGCGGCCTGACTACGTCCACGTCCTCGACGGCCAGCTTCGTCAGGCTGCTCTTGCTCTCGCGCTCCGTCGCCTGCTTCTCCAGGTGGGACAGCCTCTCGCGAATGGTGCTCATGTCGCCCGAGAGCCTGTTCGAGGCCTTCGCGCTCTTCTCCTCTGCCTCGTACTTCTGCCTCTCCAGGCTGGAGAGTCTCTCCTTGATCGACTTGCTGCCGGCGAAGTCACCGGACGGTCGGTTCGTCTTGCCGTCCGTGCCCTTCTGGGTGCCCTTCTCGAAGATCTCGCGCCTCTTCAGGATGTCCACCTTCACCGCGGGTCCCTTTTCCTCGAGCAAGCCGGACTTGGACCCGTTCATCGCCGACTTGGCGCTCTCCAGCTTCCCGTCCAGACTCGCCAGGGACCTTCTCGGGATGTTCTGCGACACCCTGGACACGTAGCCTCGAATCGCTCCCTCGTAGGTGTACTCCTCCGGCTCCGGCGAACTCGTCGTCGCGGTCGTCGCCGAGTCGTACTCCTGGTGGTTGTGGTTGCCGTGGAACCCGTTCTCGAAGCCCGGCTTCTTCGACTCGGCGCTCCCGTTCTCGTTCGCGGTGTTCTCCACGTCCGAGTGGTTCTTCTCGATCTCGCTGTCCCGGTCGCTCTGCAAACATTTCACAACCGCAAATTGGCCCATTATTTTGCAGCCGCTATCGACACTTTTCGCGTATATGATTCGCGCCTCAAGAACTTACGAGAACGCTGTGCGTATCGTCGTGGGTATCTCCGCTAACGGAACTCTTGCCGCTGCTGGTTCCGATCCCGAGATCGCTCAAATCGTTCGAGTCCTCCTCGTGGTACACGGCCAGACTGATGCTGAGTTTACGACCCCGGTTCCCTCGCTCTTCCATCATCTCCGAGAACGTTTTGCTCCGGCGTCGCTGCCTATCGTGTTCCTCCAATTCGAGCTTCTTCACCTCGACCACTCGTTCGATTATGTGCTCCTGGCGCTTCCTCCTGCTGCTCTTCCAGTTATCCAGATTCTGCGGAAGAAGGAAAAGCCACGCTCGAGACGAACTAATTCCCACTCGACGCTTAAGGAACCGATCGCTTGAATAACCTCGCTTACCGATTGCCAGTCCTCGGGGTCGTCTCTGACCTCTTGCTTTATCTTCTTCACCTCCTGCACCTTCTGCAGCTGTTCCTGGGCGGTGCGGTACAAGGAACATGGCCCGACCTTGACGAATTGCAGAGGGTTCGTGGCCTGCTTTGGGGGGGTCTTCAGAGTCGTTTTCAATTTCGGTGGTTCGTGGGTCGTCTGGAAAGGAAGACTCTCGTTATTTTCGTAAAACGACGCCGAAAGTCCGGAAGTGGGAAATCCTACTTGAAACGTACGAATTATTGAGCACTTTAGAAATTTAACTCTTATTTTCGAAAAACGACGCCGAAAATCTAGGGAAAAAAGGAATCCTATTTAAGATGAAGTGAAACCCCCCTCAAATCAGTCGATTCAAATACAACACTTTTTTTTAAGGGTATTCGACCAAACTGTCCGAAACTTTGACACATGACTCGTGATCATCTAAAAATTGTCCCTGACGCATCCCAAATTAGGATTTTTTACCAAAATTTGTTAACTAAGCCCATACCAGAACCAAAATGGCGTCGAGCTCTGATATTTCGATCAATATACAATCATTGAAGGCTCTGTTATGAGAAACGAAAGGGTCAGGGCAATTTTACGACAATTTATTACACTCTGATAATCGATAAACTCGCATTTGAACGAGATAAAGGGAAAAAAAGTGTCTTAGCGCTTCTATGCTAAAACGACGGGAATACGAGGTCTCGGATTGAAAATTTAATTGACCTGGAAATCACAGATGGCGCAGGGGGTCCCTCTGCCGTCAATTAGGGCCCCACAAAGCATTAATCCAGAGGATTTCTGGAGTTTTACTTCAATTTCTTTATAATTATTGTACGAAAACGACAGGTGGAGTATGCCATTTGGTACAATATCCAATATAATTCGACACAGCTGTCAATACAAAAACGAAAGTCGGCAACATAGGTATTTGGAAAAATCTTCTTTATCGACGTCGATCAAGTTCCTCAACATGTTTCACTTCACCTTAAAACATACGAATTCTTGAGCGCCTCTAGAGGTTTAGCTTTTATTTTCTAAAAACGACGCCGAAAGTCTAGGGGGAAAAAAAAAATCCTACTTAAAAGGTACTAATTCTTAAGCACTCTAGTAGTTTAGAGCCAAGTTTCGAGAGAAAGTCACCGAGAGAGAAAGAGAGAGACTCGACGAGGCGCTTTCGACGGGCATTTTCGCCGGGAAATATCCGATGGAAATCAATGATCCTCCAGGTTGGCCGACCTAGACCTCGAGCAAAACCCATCAAGTTTCCATCGCGAGAGCAGCTTAACCCGGCCGAGACGACGACAGGGCCGTTCCGCGTGTACAATGGAGCCGAGGTTAATTATTTCTCGTGGAAATTCACTGACGCTCGCGCCGGCACTCCGTCTGCCGACATCCTTGACTGGAGGCTCGGAAACGAGCGAGCTTTAACGATCGGGGCTCTGGTCGAGGCCCGGAGAAAACGATCCTCGTCGATCCGGAGCCGGGAAGTCTGTAACGGCGTAGAACCGGAAGCGGAACCGCGCTCTAAATTGCGACGCGGCCGGCCTCCACGGACGTCGTTAAGGTTTCACGGAACCGACCTTTACACCCCGAGACCGGGAAGGAGGCTAAAAATTTCATCCAGCCCTTCGGGTGCCTCTTCCTTTTTCAAACCGGTATTACTCGTCTGCATTTCTGGACTCGCCGTCATCCTAGGCTCTCGACCCCAGGATCGACCGAATCGAAATTGAACTCCTTTCCCCGATCGCTCGAGTTACCCGATCCCCGGTAAGAATTTGACATGCCCCCGCAATTATGAAAGCGGTGATTCCTTTTTTAATCAAACATTTACGGTGAAACTTCTTCTGTAAAGGTAAATTCGATTCGGGTCGCCCGGGACCAAAAGTGGAACCCTGATAGAGATCATTCGTTTCGACGCCTAGGGAACCACTTTCTCCTTTCTAATATTATGAATATTAAATCACAACTTCAAGTCACTGAATAAGCATTAACTGCCACGGTAGGGTCGCTCCTCGTCTCGCGCGGATTTCCACGTTTCCTTTTTTATATCTTTTTCTGGGAAACTAACTTCAATCGTAATTTGAACGTACGTTGCAACACTACATGTAGAAGATGAATTCATTTCTTCTTTAGATGTCTGACTCAGACTCAGTGATTATGGGCGCGTACAAGGAAGGCCGTTGAAAAGAAAAGAAAAAATGAACAACGACTTTGTGCAGGGGAGCCTGGAAATGACGAAAAGTGCATCGAGCGCATCCAGGGCATTTCCGGCACCCCGGGTTCCGTTAAGCGGTCTCTGACGATCACGACAATTGACTCCGACGATCTCCTCTCCGGGCGCAACATCGGCCGGCAGATGCGCTCTTATCCAATTAATGTTAATTAGTGCGTCGGGTTAATCGATTCCCGGAGTTAACTCACCATTCTGTCGTTTCGCCGCTCCGAGGCAGCGGGTTGCGAGGCTGGCATCTCCGCAGCTTCCTCTCGGGATCCTCCTCTTCAATGCAGCAGAATTCCACGTACCGTCGAGCCCATCCTACACGTTGCCCCTGGAAAATAAACAGGAAGTCTTAATAAGGCGCTCGTCCTTTTGCGCGAGCCGCGGGATGGGGTGCCCCTTCTGCAAGCCCGATTTCGTGCCAAGTGGATTTTGCTACCTCTCCGTATCGCTCTTTCCGAGTAAAGAAGGATTTTTCCCGCCCGGTGGAATAATCGACCTCGACTCGACGCAGGAAGAAAAATGGACAGGTGTACCCGAGGAAGGCCGCCGCTATTGTTAACGATCAATGATAAATCGACGAGACCGCGGTCACGTGGGCTGTTCAGAAACTAGGCGCAAAAACGCACCTGTAACCGAGCGGACGTTTATTCCGAGCTTCGGCTCTTGTGTACCTTCAGATAAGCTCGCGTTCGCGTCGAGATAACTCGCCCGGTGGGAACGTCACCGTCTACTCGGGAATTAACGCCGGCATTGAGCGCGGTTCCTTGAAAAAGTGCCGCTCCATTTTCCGAGATAAAACGCTGGAAGAGAGAAATAGGTTCCTCGAAGCCATCCCCGGGTACGCGGAGCTAGCTCGGGCTCATTTTTCACGGCTCATGATTTATTTCCAGGAGTAAACCGACTGCGTAACGCGAATCAATTAACTTCGAGCCCACTCGCGGAAGACGAGGCAGGGAAATTCGAAGACCGATCGTTGCCGGCATTACACGGCCGAGGCTCGGTAGGTGCGGAAAGCCGGGAGCGAATGGATCACCTAAGCGACCTCCTCCTCGCTGAGAGCCTCGAAAATAAATTATATAAGCTTTTAGAGAGAAATCGCGATAATTGATTCAATTTTAGGCGTGACCGCGTTCCGCGTTTTCGGCCCGCGACGTTACCGGGTCTGGGGACCGCTAAAGTGCAGCCCCGAATTCCCGAGGGATTAGACGATGATCTATTTCGGAGGGACTCGAGAGAGGACCATCCTCCTGAGTTCTTCCGTGATGCATCGTCTATGCGTATAAATATACGTACGCACTCGACGCACCTAATCGCGCCTAAATCGGCGCGAGAGTTTCGACCCCGAGGAACGCGCGTCCCAATTGCGATCCGATTTAATCGGGAGGTTCCCGTCCCTCCATCGGGTAATGTACTTAAATTCTAGGTGGGATTTTCTCTAACTTCTTTGGTCCAATTATTTCATATCTTCACGTCTTCGGGGGAGTTACGCAATCTCTCCCAGTCACCCCGAGAGCCATTACCAAGGGAAACGTTGAGTCGCGATCGAGGACGAAGTCTAGCGATCGGCTCGTCGAGGCCCTAACTCGCTGATAGGCGAGTTCCAATCAGAGTTAATAGCGACTTGACAACTTGGAATTGCGGAAACGGCGCTGAAAGCTGGTTACACCGAGTGGGGTAATTGGGGTTAAACGGCGCGCCACGGTAACCATAAAACCGGCCAACATAAACGACCGACTTCCCCGTGATCGACTGCTCTCTCCAAATCGGCGTTTCGGAATTTCGTCGCACTTTGGGATAAATAATTCTACTTAGGGTGTCCTCCCCCGGAATACTCTATTCCGGGCGGCGGGAGAGATGACTCACGTCCGGGGAAAATCGAGGATCAACATTCGGAGAAAAAGGCGGATTCCTCCGGGAAAAGAAACCGGCACTTAGAGCGTTTGACGCTTCCACCCTCGCGATTCATTCCTCCGCGGTTTATTCCTGAATTACGGCGCCATATGTCGCCGTACGTATAACCGATGTTCGCAAGAAAGTCGCAGAAGTATTTAGCAAAAAGTGCGGGAAAGAGCGACGGCCATAACGTACTCTCTCCGGTCGAGAAGTCTGCCCAGCCGATGCCCATCTCGCGAGAGATATGGACCCAGCCCTCCGAATGGAGGAAGTTACACGTCATCGATGACGGTGACTCTCGTTTCTTTCCCCCGAAATCGCCGGAGCGTTCGCACGTTCCAGACATTATGCGAGGAGAAAAGGAGAAAAGGGAAGTTGGAACCTGCCGAGAAGACGACACCCACCTTCTCCCTTCCTCTCTTCTTCTCGCGGGGTCCGAGTCGGTAAAACCGCGGGACGAGCAAATATTATTACGAAGGAACCTTGTTTACGCGTAACATCCGCCGCAATCTAATTTCAGAATGTCAGTTTTGTATCCGCCAGTGGTGGATAAAAGGGATTTCAAGGCTGAGGAGACATATTTCGCGGGTAAACCGCGCCTCCGGACGGCGATATCGCTTCGCGGAACGTATTTGACAGGCCTGGCCTCCGCGTTAATCTCCGGGGAACAAATTCATTTGTTTATGCCAAGGAGTTTATTTCTTTACGTGCGGAAGGCGTCACCCCGCCCGAACTAAGATGGCGGGTCTAAACTTAGGCGCCGTGCCCTTCCTCTCTCCCTCTCTCTCGAGAAAAAAAATTCTTCAACCCGATAACCTCTTTCGACGCCTTCCCAGCGGATAGGTTCTTTCCATTTATCGCTGAAAACATCTCCGGAGGTTTTTCGACGGCTCTCGATGTCACTGACATTACCAGAGACGAGTCGAACTCTCACTTCGAGGAGCACTTTCCCGAGTCGAAACGCCATTTACCGTCCCTCTGTCAGCCATTGGCTCTCTTAACTTTTGGAGGGAAAAAAAGAAAAACTTGACCGTGGCGGTTGACCGTAATAAAATTTCAGATATTACAGTCACGAAGGCAGGGACCGAGCAATTGTTCCCGGGTATATTTAGAGCGCGTTTCGAGCGTGGCTGTCGACTCGAACTCCGGGGGAGCACGCGTTGACACTTATTCCCAGGATGAAATTAGCCGGTCCACGTGTGTGAAATGCAGTGGACACGTAACGAGCACTCGGCTCGTAAGGACCGCTCTCCCGTCTCGAGGAAGACGCCGTTACACGAGTGCGTCTTGTAAAGGGAAAAAAGAGGTTCCCCACGGTCATGGTCCATCCAGCCTCGAGACCGCCGAGTGCGCAATGGGGCTAAATTAATTGCCGGCGATTGCAGGAGGTTGCACCCACTTCCGGAAACAAGATGGGGAAACTCGGCCCGGCGAGGCTTAATTGCTCGTGTTCGGACACGAGACGAGGTGTTCCCCAGGGCCGCCATCTTGGCCGACTCCTCGAAAATGTACGCGCTCGTAAACGCGCGCAACTCGCGCCGGCGTATTTATGGCCCCGAAGAGAGCCCGTTGTTTCGCGCCTGGCAGATGTTGGGAGTAATTCAATATCGATGTCAAAAGCGCGATAATAAAATGTACGCTGGCCGACGCGGACGAGTACTTATTCCTGGCACGGGGTTCCACGAGCTCGCGGACGGATTTGTAAAGGTTTAAACATTTATTTTCTCCAGCGAGACGAACCGTGCATTCATTGACAACGTATTCCTCGGCACCGTTGATGGCCTCTTGCTACGTTCCTGGTATTTCAATTTAAGGTTACACGAAAGAAGCAACCGAGGAGTTTCATTTTATTATTTTTGTTTAATTTATATTTCTATTTTTATGAACGACCATTTAATGTTTGTATAAAAAATGAAATCCCATTATGTCGGGGCCTCCATATGTAGGTGATAAGATTTCAGAAAACTCGGGAGAATTTGAAGAAGTCATAAACGTGTGACCCTTCGGAATGGTACTTTCATGCCGCCTTAACACGTTCGCTACCAGCGCCGCAAATATGCGACGTGTATCATGGGCTGGAAAATTTCATAGGCTGCGGTACAAGATTTTCTTATAAAGCGTTGATAGCGAACTTGCTAAGTATGCGAGTACCCCCAAATTCGCTGGCCATAACATTTATCCGCGGATTTATGGAACAACTCGACACTAAGAGTGCCCATTGTCGCGCGGATGATAAACAAGGATCGATTACACGTCCGTTTGCGTAATCGAGGCGAAACGTTTCTCCTGGCCGTCGTTCACGGCCGTTTCCCCTCGCGAAAGTATGAACGGCCCCGAAGAGTGGTCATTACGAAGGGCGAGCGAGTCATGGGAATGGAAAAAAGGATTCGGCCGTGCTTTCGCCGGGGCCGAGTGATACTCGGGAAGCTGGCAAGATGATGCCGCTTTCGCGTATCTCTCCGCGGAAGCCAAGAGGTCAATCGCCATTATAGGAGTCTTTTTAATAACACACGAGATTCCGCGAGGCACTGGAACCGTGGACTTTCTCACGGGGCCGCGCGTCTGGTCAATGAAACGACCCGTGAGAATTTTGCGGATCGGCGTTAACACCGGGAATCTTTTTCGCGACACTCGGTCAGCCAGAAGACGGAGAAAAAGCGGCATTTTGCCCGTAAAACGGACTTCATTTCGCGAAGGCGGTCTTTCTGGTCCCCCTCGAGCGTCGTCAGGGTTTCCTGGGTTTACGGCCCTCTTTCGCCAGGTGCCGGGCCGATTTATGTCCGCGATTCCAGTCCCCTCGATGCCTTCCGGATGGCTGGCGTCGATCTTCGCGATCGCGCCGAGAAAACGTCGAAGAGGAGAGAGGAGATGCAACGGCGACGGCGACGACACGCTCTGCATCCTCGGCCGCATCGCGGAGAAACCGGCCGAAAGAGATCCTCTCTACTGCGGATTTGGCGTCCTCTTCGACACCGATTTGCCCAGCCGGACACTCGGCTCGTCGACGAGCGATCCTCGTGTTTCTCCGGTGCCCCGGGGCATAAAAACGAATATTACATTTACGTGATGTTCCGTGCTCTCGTTTCTTTCCCTTCCCGGTGGCTCGCGGATCATTTTATCGTTTCTCCCGTAACGCTATCTCTAAGCGTCTCTCCCGAGACGTCGCTCCCCGACTCGGCGGACGGTGCCTTTTTTTTTCGCAAAAAGGGGGGAAAAAAGACGAATGGACTACAAAAAGGACAAACGGTCGACCTGCCCTCGAAATAAAATCCCAAGACGCAGGCCTGCCTCTTCATATTCTCATTCCGTTATGTAAATTAGACCAGCGGGAAAAAATCCTGAAGCGCAGCGAGGTGCCCCAAAATCTTTTCGAATCACCGTAGGATTTTAAAAGCGCCACTCTGTACAAGGAGATCTTGCAAAACGACGAGTATA